TTAATATATAAATGTGTACTAAAACAATATGTAAAACTATCCTTACAATTTCCTATTAAATGGGAGTAACATACATTTTTATCCAAATATTTAATGTATATTAAAATAGTATATTCATTATTATTTTCCATTACATGTATATCAAATCAAAGGAGAACGTCTTAAGATATGAAAAATATCAGTTCATAGAATACTAAACATACTTAAGAATATTAAGCATTGAAGGCCAAAAAGAAAAGAAAAGTAGAATACTGTAAATGAGTTTAAGATTTTTTCAATTCTTAAAAAAAAAATCTAAATGATTTGTTTGAAAAAATCTTGTCACGCCCCAAAATTCGAATCCGAGGCGCGACAGACGCCGTGCACTCGTGAACGGGTCCTACAAGTGCACAAGGCTCGAAACCTACTGAGTTCTAAATTTTCAATTTAGATTATTTAAATTTAAAAACTCAGGTAAAATCTAACTTTTCATTACCAAAAATTTACTAGTCAAAATGTACAACAGTTTATAAGATAGTTATGGCTATAACCAAGAAAACTCTATACACAAAAATGGTTATTTAAGTCAACCATGTGAGACTAGCGGCCTAACTCCAAAAGATCTAAGTCCAAATAATGCCTAGCTGTCTAGCTCATCACTCCCCCAACTCCCCATGTGTCAGGTATCACTACCTGAAATGGTGGACAAAAAAAAACTAGGTGAGATAAAATATCTCAGTAAGTAAAAATATGGATAGCCCGTGAGTAAAATTTTAGCATGCTTGATAAACAATTTAACATAACAAAACATTCAATGATAAACCGTTAATACAGAAAAAAATTCAATAGTAGTCTCATCTGTAAATCAATAACAAAGCGTTCAATGATAAACCATTAATGCAAAATAAAATTCAGCAGTAGTTTTATCTATAAGTCATGACCAGTGTTTAACAAACTCCCACTGACAGGCGTCAGTAATAACCAGTGTTTAACAAACTCCCACTGGCAGGCGTCAGTAATTACCAATGTGTTATCCCATTGGTAGGATTACATAATGAACTGGTCATATCAATAAACATGTCGACATATGCTAGCATTTGCAAACTCTCATTGGCGGGCGTCAGTAATCATGACTATATCAGAGACAAAACTATGCAAGATTTACAGAAAAATTCGTAATTCATAATCAATCTCAAATTCCAGAAATAACCAAAAAATTTTCATGTGAGCATGGATTTAACAGAAAAATCAAAATTTACAAAAATTCTCAAATCATCATAGCAGTTCAGTGAATTCCAAGTGGGCATGCTCTACTCAATGCAAATGAAAACAATTTCATTTCAAATCAATCATGCTCGGTGCTAATAAAATCAATTTAAACCTTACCACCATCTCAAAAACAATTTAAAACATGCTTTGAAATCGAAAGGCGTTACCATAATTTACTTACCTCAAATCACGTAATACCGGAAACTCAAGCCAAGTGTTCGGGTGCCAGAACACTAATCCCAAGTGCTAGAGTGCAGAATAATCAAGTACCTAATCAAAATATTTCAAAATTAATACCCATATAAAACAACATATTTTATCAATTTAACCAGCAATTAACCCCCATAATATCATATTTATTTATTTATTCATTCTTCTATCCGAAATCGAGCACAAAATCAATTATACATTTATATATTTGCATAATACACATTAAATTTTCCCATTTCTCACGGGCAGCACATGGAGAGCATGGCTTTGGCAAACCACAACTCACACACACGGGATTTTCTCTCCAGAACATCACAACAGCCTAAATCAAGTAATTTCCTACATAAATTAAACTGAAAAAAGCACCATTTAAGCTATCAAAATTCTCCTATCCTCCAACATAATTTTCGGACAGCACAAGGGTAGCAACTCAACCATTTAAACTCAACAAGGCAGCAATTAAGTGGGTAATTTAGGACTTAGAGAAGTGGCCATCGTACCAGAATTTTCCTAGCAGCAAAGCCGGTTCTGGCGGTGAGAGAGGCTGCGGAAAATTGGAGAGAAATTAGCACAAAATTGAAGGAAATAAGAGCAATTAGAGTGAACCCAACTTGAATCAAGGCTAAAGGTATGATTTCCTAGTTGTTCCCTTACCAGAAAAACCGAGAAGCACTCCACCGGCAAGAGCAGCTCGCGGACAGGGGAAGGGAGCAGTTGCAGATCTGAAAATTTTATGGCTTTAGAGGGATTTCTAGGTCTTAAGTCTTGTGATTGAACAAGAAAGGATGAGAAATTTCAAGCCTTTTTCCAATTTTTTTTCAAGCATGGAGGTCGGCAAGCTTGGGGGCTTTCGGGATGCAAGGGGGGGTCGGGAGGAAGAAGATAAGCAATCACGTGAAAAGTGGCTGGAGAAAAAGGGAAAAATAATCAGCCACCCTTTATCTTAATGTTTATTCCTTTTAAGTCCCTCAAATTTAACAAAATTTGTGATTAGATTCACCAATAATATTTTCTCTCACAATTAAATCCATAACTCACACTTTAATATTCTAGAAATTTGGGGATATTACAAATCTTTAATTCAAAATTTGATTCTACAATATATATTTAAATTACTTAGTTTAAGTTATATTTTAAGAAGGTATATCAATTTTTTAATATGATGTTGAGAAAGGAACATTAAAATGATTCCGTGCAATGCATACGTAACCCATAGGTATTTGATCTTATTTAAGTGTATTGTAGTTTTTTAATTGAGAGAAGAGAGAATACTATCTAAATCTTTAAATAGAATAATAGTAAAAATAAAAAAAGAACAGATATGTTTAAATTATGAAATAAAGATTAATATTAAATGTTTTTTGAATTCTTTTAATATTCCCTTTTTTAAATGTGATTATATACAATTTTTTTTTAAAGAATACTCTTACTAAATACTACACACAATTTTCAACTTAACTTTAATTATTGAACTAGAATTTTTTAACTAAAAATCATTATAAAACTCAAGAGTTGATAAAAAATAATAAAAAAAAATTAAACTCTAATATAAAATTAAAAAACCCATGCAACGCATGGGTTAAAAAAAAGTTCAGTAATATATGTATATAAATGCATATCCTATTTAATACATAGAGTAGCATTTTATATATACATATAAATATAGATTATCTTCAATTATTATGGCAAATACTAATTTGTAGTTCTTCATTTCATAATTGAACGTGGAATAACACTATAATAATATATAACTTGCCAAATTATTAATTTTTTTTTATTAATTTTTGTATTATTTTCTTTAC